GGTCAGATGAGAATCCGAATTGCGTGCTGGAAACTCACACACAATACCCACAAAAAATAAATGTATGGTGTGGAATAATAGATGGCTACTTAATAGGACCGTTTTTTTGTTAAGAAAATCTGAACTCTCAAAGGTATGACAGATTACATGTAGATCAATTAATTCCAGCCATACAAATTATTTTTCCAAATAAATTCGAAGAAATATGGTTTCAGCATGATGGAGCTCCTGCTCATTTTGGTTTAGGGCGACGTCATATTTTAAATGAGACTTTTCCATTACGATGGATAGGAAGAAGAAACAGAAATGAGGAAGGAGAGGATTGGCCACTTCGGTCACCAGAACTAACTCCTTTTGATTATTATCTATGGGGACACCTGAAGAGTAAGGTTTACAAAACAAAACCTGAAAGCATCCAAGAATTGATACAGCGAATAAGGGATGAAATAGATTTGATACCTTTTGAGACGAATCGTAGAGCCATTTCTGCATTCTATCAAAAATTGGCATATTGTCAGGAAGTAAATGGCAGCCACTTTCAGCACTTACTTTAACACACTGAGTAAAATTTATTTTAAAACACGGAGTAAAAGGTTTTGAATCATTAAAGAGAGATGACAGTTACCAATCGTCTGTTTTGCAAACAATCACGATTATACATACAACAAATTCACATTTGTTTAGCCGCACGCACGCACGCACGCACGCACGCACAAGGGATCAGATTCATACCATTTCCACATAGTTGATCCTGGATAACACTAAGTGCATGAAATTTCGAAATTTGACCGGTAGCCGTTTTTAATGGGGGGAGGTCGTAGCGACTTAAAAATTTAAGGGTGCGTTTGTTATGAAATGACCTTTCAAATGAGCCCCCACTCGACCCTTAGTCCAATTAAAATTTTCAACTCCCCTTTTACTCCCGCGTACCAGGGGATGGGGAATGATTAGTATCCATGTCATAAAGTAGCTTTTTTGAAAGATTGAAATACGTATTTTACCGTTTTTTGATATTTTCATTTTTACAAAAATTATTTAAGGGTTTCCATACTTTTGCAGGCCAACCTTGACCGCGGCCGACGAGCCCAGGATCTCCTTGTCCATGGACTGGGAGAACTGGGGGCCGGGCTAGGGTTGGTCGCCGAGCCGTTCTGGATCCCAGTATCCAGCCTTGACTGGTTCGGGAGCCTGGACAGCTGGATGGCCGTGGTGGCACATCCCGCCATGGGTTCACCTCCCTGCAAATGCAGGAAGAAGGGGACCTCGTACGTGGCGGTTGACTGGGGGCCCGTTACCATAGTGGGGGTGTATCTTCACCCCCGCCAAAATGAGGCCGGTCTCGGCGAACTGCCCTACGTCATGGGGATCCTTGACGAGGTCGGGTACGTGGTGCGGCAGTGCCGTTCCCCGACCCGTCGTGTTTGCCGGGGACTTCAACGCCCACTCTACGGAGTGGGGTTGCAGTCCCCGGCAGGGGGATCCCCAGAGGGGTGACGCTGCGATCGGCGGGACTCGGCCTCCTGTTGATGAACAGGGGGTCGGCCAGCACCTGTGTGCGGACGAATGGGGAGTCGGTCATTAATTTGACCTGGGCCTTCCCTTCGGCTGCCCGGATGTTCCGGGAGTAGGCGGTGGTGACTGAGGGCGAGAACTTATCTGATCACAGATATATTTTCTGGGCCCTCGGTCCCCGAGCCCCTCCGCAAGTGCTGAACTGCCGCCCTAGGGGGGGCACCGGGCTCCCCCCTCCGAGATGGGCCTTCAGTCAACTTGACGCAGACATGTTCCGGGCGGCCGTCCTCGCGGCCACCTGGCACCTAGGAGAGGAGCCAGGTGAGTGAGTTACTCGTCCCCTGGAGGGGGCTAGGAAGATAACGGGCATCGTGACGTCGGTATGCGACGTTGCGATGCCACGGTCCCACTCCCGTCGTCGCCGGGCTGCTTATTGGTGGAGCGAGGCCATCGCCGAGCTCCGCCAAGCCTGTATACAGGCCAGGCGGGAGTACTCCCGGGCCCGGGAGAACGACGGGGACGCCGCGCGGGAAAAAGAGGGCTATCGCTCTGCGAAAAAAGCCGTCACGGTCGCTATAGCCAAGGCTAAAGAGGGAGCCTGGGAGCAACTGGTGAGCTCCCTGGATGAAGACCCGTGGGGGCGCCCGTACAAACGGACGGTCGGAAAGATCCGTCGGTGGGCGCCCCCGCCGACGGAGTCGATGGACCCCCAGGACCTTGAGGGGCTCCTCAACACCCTCTTCCTGAGGGTGGAGGGGGCCCCCCTCGGATCCCAGCCCCTGAGGAAGAGGACTGGGACGAGGACCTGAGGGTCGTTTCAGAGGAGTTCACCAGGGCTAGGAAGAAGCTGGGGGCCAAGGGCAAAGCCCCTGGTCCCGATGGCATTCCTGGCCGCGCCTGGGCTCTCGCCCTCGGCGAAGGGAACATGGCCGCAGCCATGAGGGGAGTGATTAACGGGTGCCTCAAGGAAGGGTTCTTCCCCCAGGAGTGGAGGAGGGCCAAATTGGTCCTCCTCCCAAAGGCGAGCAAAACACCCGACGGACCGCCGGCCTACAGGCCGATTTGTCTGCTGGATGAGACGGGCAAGATGCTGGAGCGCATCGTCGCGGACGGCCTCGTCCGGCATCTGTCCTCAGATGGGCCGGACCTCCATGACAGGCAATATGGGTTCAGGCTCGGATGGTCAACGCTGGACGCCATACAGCACGTCCGGGACCCATGCCGTCGTGGAGGGGGGTGGGGTGTTGTTGGCGGTATCTTTAGATATCACAAATGCCATCAACACCCTGCCCTGGCCGGAGATTGGGCGGGCGCTCGAGCACCATCGAGTGCCTGCCTATCTCCGCCGCATCCTAGTAGCCTATTTTGAGGACAAGGACCTCGCCTATCCGGTTCAGGGCGGGGTCCAAGGCCAGCGGATAATGGAACGCGGTGTCCCGCAGGGGTCCGTTCTGGGCCCCCTGCTATGAGACATCGCGTTCGATAGGATTTTGCGAACGCCCCTCTCCCCAGGCTGCTATGTCATCTGCTACGCAGATGACACCCTAATGGTAGCCGAGGGGGAGGACTGGTGGGAGGCCCACCTCTACGCGGAGGTGGCCTTGGCGTCGGTGGTGGGCACCATTCGTAACCTGGGTCTGAAGGTGGCGCTCCAAAAAACGGAGGCCGTCTTTTTTCACGACGGCAGCCGTGGGGCGCCACCGGAGACCTAGGTCGTGATGGACGGAGTCCGCGTCCGCGTCGGGCCCAGCATAAAGTATCTGGGCTTGACGCTGGACGGCCAGTGGAATTTTAGGGCCCATTTCAGGGATCTGGCCCCCCGGATCAGAAAGGCAGGTCTGGCCCTAGCCAGACTAATGCAGAGCCAGGGGGTCCGGGTTGGCACGCGCGTCGCCTATATGTTGGAGTGGTTCTCTCGATCGCTCTCTATGGGGCGCTAATATGGGCGCCCCAAGTGTTGGCTACCGCTCAAAGCAAACGCCTAATGCGCCAGGCGCTGAGGGCGGTGGCTGTGAGGGCGATTCGGGAGTACCGCTCCGTTTCATATATGGCGGCGACGACCCTGGTCGGCTTCCCCCCGTGGAGCTCCTTGCCGAGGAACGAAGTATCCTCTATTGGAGAGTCAAGGAGCTCCGCGAAAGGGGGGAATTAACGGCCAGGGAATTGACGGCCCTGGGGTCCCGGGTGGCTGCCCGAACTCAAGAGCGGTGGGCGGACGCGATGTCTGCCCCGCGGGAGTTCAGGCAGCTGACGACGACGGCTGTCCTGCCTTGCAGAATTTGCAGGCAGGAGGGGGCGCGGACTTATCGCGGATTTCATCTGGTGTAGGTGATGACCGGACATGGATGTTTTGGTCATTACCTGCACCAGATAAAGAAGGAGCCCACCACCGGGTGCCACCACTGTCCGGAGCCGGACGACACCGTGCACCACAACCTGGCCGAGTGTGTAGCTTGGAGCAAGGAGCGCGGTGTCCTGGCCCGGGCAGTGGGGTGCGGGGAGGATGAATTGTCGCTCCCGCGCATGGCAAGAGCCATGTGCGGGAGCGAGGAAGTATGGGGAAAGGTGGCCTTCTTCTGTCGCAGTGTTCTGTCGCAGAAGGAGGCCGCCGAGTGGGAGCGTCGCCCCGAAGACCGCCGCAGGCAGCGGCGGACCCAAACCCGGGGAGGGCGGCGCTCCCCGGGTTTGGGCAGCGGGCCCGAGGGAGCGCTGGCCGAGGAGGAGGACAAGCCACCGGCTAGACGGAGGCCGCCTCCTCGGCCGCCTCGGGCTCGTCTTCGGACGCGCGGGGGGAGGGGGGCGATGGGTGCGTGATGCCCGCCCGCCTTTCCCCTAGGCATCGGATAGGGTAGGAGAAGGAGTGGCCCGGTTTGGGGCTGAGCTCCATTCCCCGTCCCCCTCTCCTTTGGAGGGGAGTAATGGGGGGCGCGGAGGGAGGGTGGATGCCCCCCCTCTCCAAGTAATCACCGGAAGGCCAACCCGGTCGGGGAACCGACCGGGGGGCCGTGCCCTGGACTCACTGAGTGGGACAGGGCGCGGTACTCGATGGCGTGGGGCTCCCGAAGAGCTGTGAGGCCGGGGTGTTGAGGAGGGAATGCGGGAGCAGTTCCCCTAACTCCCCTCACAACGGTCCGAATGGTAGACATCCCGCAGGGGTTTTAGTCAGTAGGAGTCTGACATAACCCCTGACCCCCCCAAAGGGTCGGGAGTATTCATGATGGATTTCCCCTGCGTTACCAAAAAAAAAATGGTTTCCACATTTTTGACAACCCTGTATAGTACTATTTGGCATAAAAAGGTTTGAAATTTGAGGTTTAAATACTGGGCGAAAAAACAGGTCTGTTTGCCATCACTCTTTCAGTTATTTAACTTTTTTTGTGAAACAATAAGTGTTATTTTTAGTTAGAATTTTTATATTATTTATGACTTTTTACATCCATAATACATTATAGTGATAAATTCTACGACATTCATATAAATTTACCAACATTCATAAATGAATCAAGATTCATTGAAATAACATAAGCACTGGTAAGCTCAATCGGAATTATACTGCGTTTCATAATTATTAATAATGATTTTTGGTCATGTTTATCCAGGTCATACCATTCCATTCTGAACACATTACTAATCAGTTCTTGGCTCTGTATTTAACAATATAAAGTTTATTATTTTGATGAATCTGAATTATGCTGTAAGTCAACAATTAATTAATGGAACAAAGAACAACAATATTAATTTAATGAATTTTAATATATAATACAGTCTGTCAAGGAATAGCGTGACTAATATAATTTTTATTTGACTTTGATTAGAAATTTTGTTTGGACGCAGCTAAAAAAAACAATCTAAAACGTAATATAGATTAAATTACAATTGTCTTCATATTCTTTTGATAGAACGTTTACGAATGAATGTCCCATATATGACATTTTTCAAACCTGTTCTTTTTTACTTTGAATATATTTGAAAGAACCCAAAATATGTAATGTGTAATCGACAAAAGAATCAAAAACGTTCATAAACAAGTAAAATTGATGAACAAATACAAGAACAGTCGATGATTTACTAGGATTTTGTGACAAAAAAGGACTAAATTTGTTTTACCATGTTTAACCAAAATGTTCGATTATCGTTATACAGGATGTCCCATTTTAATATCCCACCCCAAATAATTCTTCAGTATTGAAGTTTCAAGGAAAATGATCTAAATAAAAGTTGTAGGGATTTAAGTGAGCTACTTCATGATGATCTTGACTTTGATCTTGACCTCTATTTTCAAGATTATTTGAAGGTCAACTTGCGTTTTTTGAATGGGAACTCTTATTACAGTTTTTTCTACTACTTAATTTGAACAACTTTTGTCTAAAACGTTTTTTTATTTGTCTAATATTTTTGAGATATTTAAGGAAAACTTGATAATTTTTTCAATTCTTTTTCAGGGTAAGCCAGCGTAGTGTTTGCTACTGGTATTGTCATCTTGGGCACACCGGCACGGAGAACGCGTTCTGTTCGGTATATAAATAAATAATACAAACTTTTCAGCTAAATTCTAGGTTTATTTCAGGAGAAAGTTAAACAAAATTTTCAAAATATTCACCATTACTCTCTTTAATTTTAAGCCATCTTTTAAGCAAGTGAGGAATTCCATCTCGGTAAAATGGTGTCTTTGGTGGCAGTAAAGTCGACAGATCATTTTCGGATTGGAGCGCACTAATTAGAAGCATGTTCGGATAAGGCATGTTGCATTGCCTGGAACAAGTGGTAATCAGACAGAGCAATGTCTGATGAATACGCTGGGTACATAAGACATTTCATCTAACAAGGGAACCGCAAGAAGTGACCTTTCACCGATTTTAATGTATTTGGGCTCTATCGATAGGTTATGTCGAGGTCGATGTATGAAACCCCATAAAGGCTTTTGTTTCGGAAACGTTTCGTTCGGGAGAGAGAGACAGAAACCAATGAAGAGTGAGAGGTTTAAAAACGAAATGACTATTTTCCTCGTCCTGGCAAACTCAGGAAACAAATTTTTTCCTTAAATTTTCAATCTGGTGAACACGATGATGCTATTAGAATCCTCCGGAAACCTCGGGAAAGTTATGTTTTTAAGATTGTGTTTATATTGGGTTAAGTAAAAAGTTTTGAGCGTTTTCCGCTAGATGGTTTTAGTGAGGTCATATCTCACGATGTATACGTCGAATCTGGTCATTCTATACTGCGACTTAAAGGTGACATAACGTTTTAAAAAAAGTTCTTTGACAGTTTTGTGTTTGGTGAAGCCAGTTGTGTGTTAGAGCGTTCCAAAATGGAGGTAAGAAAAGAGAAAATTCGATACATTCTTCAGTACCACTACGACCAAAGGGAAAAAGCGGAGTAGGCGGCTAAAAGAATTTGTGCTGTTTATGGACCCAATACAGTATCGAATGCAACAGCAAAGCGGTGGTTCCAACGATTCCGTTCTGGTAATATGGACATCGAAGATGAGACACGCTTTGGTAGGCCAATCGTCGAAAATGCCGACAAAATCATGAAAATCGTCGAGTCGGACCGGCATGCGAGCACTTATTCCATTGCCCAGGAACTGAAGATTAGCCAGAAAACCGTTTGGAACCATTTGCATAAGGCTGGTCTCAAGAAAAAGCTCGATGTATGGGTGCCACACGAATTGACGCAAAAGAACCTTTTGGACCGAATTCATGCCTGCGATTCTTTGCTGAAGCGCAACGAAATCGATTCATTTTTGAAGCGGATGGTGACTGGCGATGAAAAATGGGTAACATACGAGAACAACAGGCGAAGAAAATCGTGGTCCAAGCGCGGTGAGCCGGTCCAAACGATCGCCAAGCCCGGATAAACGGCCAAGAAGGTTTTACTGTGTGTTTGGTGGGATTGGAAGGGAATTATCCACTAAGAGCTGCTCGCATCGGGCCAACCACTCAATTCGGACTTACACTGTCAACAACTGACCAGATTGAAGCAGGCGATCGACGAGAAGCGGCCAGAATTGGCCAATAGGAGGGTGTTGTGTTTCATCAAGACAATGCCAGGCCGCACACATCTTTGACGACGTGCCAGAAGCTCCGAGAGCTTGGATGGGAGGTTATATCGTACCCGCCCTATAGCCCAGACCTGGCTCCAAGCGATTATCACCTTTCCAAGCATTTGCAAAATTTTCTTGATGGTACAAAACTGGCCTCAAGAGAGGCTTGTGAAAATGAGCTGGTCAAGTTTTTACCAATAGGGACGAGGACTTTTTCAATCGCGGAATTATGAAATTGCCTTCAAAATGGACAAAAGTTATCGAACAAACGGCGCATATTTGATCTAAATCCGATAATCCTAACTTTGTTAATTTCATCGTCGAAATAAAGAGAAAAAACGTTCGGAACTTTTTACTTCACCCAATATTAGTGGGTTATTTACAATTTCCAAAAGTTGACTTGCCTACGTCAGTTAAAAACATTTAAATCAGTCTGAAAATGACTACTTAGGAGTTTTCGAGGTTACTGATTACAAATCAATAGTCAGAATTTCTAATTCCAAAATAGCGGATCCAATATGGCGGCTGCAAACACTTACTGTCCGTTTATCAATGAAGTATCTGAAAAGTACTTGATCGGCCTAAAATTGGCTATTTGGGGATTTTCGGGTTGGTGATTACATATCTGCAGTTAGAGTCATAAAAGAATCAAATTAAAAAATCAAATAAAAAGAAATTAAAAATCAAATTAAAAAGATAAAAAAATAAAATTAAAAAACAAATTAACAAAACTCAAAAGCGACTTTAATGAGTTGTTAGTAATTGCAGTCCCACTTACTATGACACTATTTTTTACTTCAACTCTTCTACGAAGAAGTCGGCAAAGTAAGTATTATAATATGGCGGCGACGACCCTGGTCGGCTTCTCTCCTGTGGAGCTCATTGCCGAGGAACGATACGCTCTATTGGGGAGTGCGTGAGCTCAGCGGGGAAGGGGAAGTGGTGACGGCCAGGGACCTGGGGGCCCTGAGATCCCAGGCCAGAGCCTGGGTCATGATGCGGTGGGAAGCCTTGCTGGCCGACCCTGCAGACGCGAGCTCTGAACGGTCGAGGCCGTCCGCCCGAGATGGCGGACAGGCGGGGACGTAGACTCACGTTTCATCTGGTGCAGGTAATTACCGGCCATGGTTGTTTCGGCCGGTTGCTGCACCAGATACAAAAGGAACCCACCACTCGATGCCACCACTGCCCGGTGCTTGAGGACACGGTGCATCATACGCTGGTCTCATGCGAAGCGTGGGACCAGCAACGCCGTGTCCTCGCCCGGGCAGTGGAATGCGCTGAGGAGGACCTCTCGCTCCCGCGCATGGTGCGAGTCATGTGCAGGAGTGAGGAGGTCTGCTGAATGGGAGTGCCGCTCTGGCCCGTCGCAGGGAGCAATGGAGAGGGCGGCGCTCCCCCGGCCTCGACAGCGGACCCGAGATGGCGCCGATCGAGGAGCCGCCTCCGATCCGTCGGAGGCCTCCTCGACCGCCTCGGGTCCGCCTACGTTCACGCAGGACAGACACGACGACAGACCTAGAGCGGCCTAGAGAGCGATTAGAGCCTGCCTCCCCCTGCGCGACAGTAAGAGAGAAAAAGAGGGAGCGGGAGTCCCGTTTGGGGACGGCCCCGCTGCCCTGTCCCCCTCTAGTAGAGAAGAAGGCTCTCTAGTAGCCCTCTAATAGGAGAGAGGATGAGCGTCCCCTCTCTCCTCCATTAGGACCGGTTGCCCGGTCGGGTTAGCCTCCTGGAGACCAACCAGTCGGGGCGCCGCGCCCCCCTCTTTTGAAGGAGGTGCGGCACTTGGGCGAGGGGCTCCCTAAGAGCCTCAGGGCCGGGGTGTCGGGGAGGGAATAATGGCGTAGTTCCCCCGACTCCCCATACTCCGGTCCGTCTGGCAGACACCCCGGTGGGATTTTAGCCCAGAGCTCGGCAAAATGTGCACGCGACGGCCGATTTTCGACTATCTCCATCCACCGCTATTCCCTTTACCTCGCCATTCCGCGCGCTGCCTAAAAGCCGCTCGAGCCTCAGAAGCGTGTTTCCAATAGTTTTCACGTCACCCATGAGGTATTATTGTTGACGCGCTTTTTTTTAAGTGGTACCCCCAATAGGCTTCTTCATTTTTCAAAAATGAAGTTTATAAAAAATGAGAAGTGTTCTTCTTTAAGCGACGATTCCTTACCACGTCTTATGCGGCTCGCTACATGCAATATCTAAATTGACGTTTCCACTCTTACCAATAAAAGACGCCGAAAATCGAATTGAATATTCTGCATTTAACATATTTTATTTCGCTTCTGTTCAATTAGTTACGGGTTGTTACAGTCATCAATGGATTAGGCTTACTGGGGATACTACTTAAAAAAAAAACGCGTCAACAACAGTATTTCATGGGTGACGTGGAAAACTATTGGAAACACGCTCCTGAGACTCGAGCGGCTTGTAGGCAGTGCACGGAGCGGCGAGGTAAAGGGAATAGCGGTGGGCGGAGATAGTCGAAAATCAGCCGTCGCGTGCATATTTTGCCGAGCTCTGTTTCAGCCGGTAAGAGTCCGGCATAACTCCCGCCCCTGTCCCTTGGGGGAGGAGGATATCTATAAGGATTTCCCCACCGTG